GAGGAGAAATTTCCTGAACAATTGATCAATGGAACAACTTGCCTCCAGAAGTTGTGGATGCTCCAACACTGGAGGTTTTAAAGAAGATGTTGGATAACCATTTGCCTGAAGTGGTGTAGGGTTTCCTGCCTAAGCAGGGGGTTGGACTAGAAGACCTCCAAGGTCCCTTCCAACTCTGCTATTCTATTCTAGGAGAGTTAAGTAAGAAGTTCATTCTTGTACTCAACAATGTGACAAGATTTTTTTCTTGTTGCTCAATTTCATGCCATTATGAGTAAAGCATTGGAAATATTTTTTAAAAAACCCTGTAACTTCATATAGAGGTAATGAATTATAGATTATTGCTATCTGTTGTTTAATTAATTGCCCATGCGTGTAATTCAAAGGAATGCTAAGCATATTATATGTAAAACTGTAATTATACGTGATTGAGTCAGCAGGCATTAGCAAAACAATATGTAATAATTATTTCCCATAATGAGTTTCCAGTCAGATATAAACTTATTAGGTTAATTTTGTGGAGGGGGAGGGTGTGAGGTGATCAAACAGAAAATATGTTTTATGCCATGGCTTGCTGAATAAGCCAGAAAAGGCCGGGCCGGAGTCATATATTGTGATACTGTGACAAACTATGGCACACAAACCACAATAGGATTGGTTTTTTTTTTGCATAACACATTTAAGTTCAAAATAAACATACCTCCTTATGTTTTAAATTAGAACACATGTGAACTCAATCTACATCTTAAAAATGAATACAGTGTTAAATAAAATAAAGAGCTTTGTGCCATGACCATCCTTACGGTTTATTTCTGGTCAACCAAACCAATTTCATGGTAAATGCAAATCCATCAACACTAACTAGCCATCAGGAAACACAATGAAAACTCCTTATTTGCATGACACATGGACAAATTGAACCATTGTTTCAACAGTGAGCCTCTGAGGCCAACTTAACTCCAAAAATGTTAGAGAATTCCTGGAAGCTTGGCACTCAAACATATCCATCATAAACAGACATACAGAAATAAAAGACATCTACATAACATTCAGAAGTGACCATCAAAACATCACAAGACCTCCCAGCCAACAATCAACACTCAGTGGAGATCAGGGGTGAAATCCAGCAGGTTCTGATTTTTTGAGTAGTTCAGAGAACCGGCAAATACTATCTCTGGCTGACCCCAGAGTGGGTTGGGAATGGGGATTTTGCAATATCTTTCCCCCAGGAGTGGGGATTTTGCAGTATCCTTCCCCTAGAGTGGGGTGGGAGTAGAGATTTTGCAGTATCCTCGTCCACAGAACCGGTAGTAAAAAAATCTGAATTTCACCTCTGGCGGAGATTAACACTGAGCAGTAAATGATACCCCAATTAAGGGACTACCAACTCAGTATACACCAACTTACTCAAGGAATTACCCCCACCAACCCTGATAGGAAAAGCCACCTACACGTAAAGAAAGAGCAAACTCCTTCTAGCATGGGTATTACCTAATAGTTGGATATGAATGAGAACTTTTCTCATGTAGAGAGCCCCAAGGACCTCACCATTCAATTACTGAGCTATAAATATTCTTCTGGGGCTACTGACCCTACTCATAGCTACAACCAGTGACGTGCGGTGAGGTTGATACCTGGTGAGGCTCAGCAGGGC